GAGACGTGTCCAGGCAAGTCGGGGCCAAAGGGAAACAAATATGCTGACAAGAGGGAAGATTGTGCTCGAACAATTTATATTCACACTACACGAAATCTTCACTGTGTTACATTGAAAGGATTTGTAAATCAACAAATGGACATGAATAGTCAAAGGACCCCTCTTACAATGCAGCCCCCGTCCCTAAACACAGAGGATACATATGGTAGGGTGAAAGGAAGCAGCAAAAGGTCCCTATTACCCTGCAGCAGTAAATGCTCCCTGTGAATGTGTAAAACCTTTTTTAAAGGTCCAGTGTGTATGATTTAAGGGGATAGATTGGCAGATAGATGACATAATTCCGTTAGTACACTTCTATGTAGTATACTATGTGCACTATGTACTTATTGGCGTAGTGCTCGAATTTCGACAGGGTAGTGTTATTTCAAACCAAACATGGCCGTTGTGCACTCACCGGAAATGACGACCGCAAATTAGCTAGTTAGCAAACTAGCATTAGTGTTCGCATTATCGTTGGCAGTACCAAATCATCACTGCTAAATTAACCCAATAAACATACTGCTGGCTTATACCCTATAATAGTATAGTGGTGCTTATTGCAAAAAACACATGTATTTGTACAATGCAGCGGCGTTCACGGTCGCACAGTATTCGGCCTTAACTTCCAGTTTGAAAAGTGGTCCCTCCTGTTCTGCTACGTAGCCAAGATGGCGACCATTGAGGGCGAGAAGTGTCCATAGTTCCACACTCAACTTCTTGACCGTTTGGAGTGCACCATCTGGGTACTCATAGTGCACTGCATTTTTCCATACTTCTCAGTGTGAACGCACTTATGCACTCAAAATATTAAGTGTAAGTACAGAAGTACGTAATTTGAGACACAGCATATGTTTCCTTTAGTGCATAATCATCTGATAAATCTGCCATGTTGAAACGCCATGTTTCTACAGTAGCCCAGAAGGGACAAACCAAAAACTGGCTCTAGACAGGGTCATTTGCGTTCTCAAAAATTACTGATTTTTTTTAACATGAAACTGCTTTATTCAGTATTTTTACTGGTATAAATCACCTGATCAGGAGTGCTAGCTCACCTGATAGATCAAACCCCCCATGTACAAAGGCTGTGTCCTTGTGACAACATCCACAGGTTTGATTCCAACCCGAGGACCTTTGCTGCATGTCATCCCTCTCTCTCTCTCCTCCATCACTCAAAATCAGTCATGTACAATAAAGGCAAAATGACAAAAAGGGGAAACATTTAATAAATTCATCACCTAGTCAGTTCATTTTGGAGAGAAAGAGACCTTTGTGGATAATTTGGCTTGCAGGAAACACCTCCTAATCGTTTGGATCTTAAGTTATCAGAGGAAAAAGTGAGCACACATTAGAAGGTGCTGGGCTAGTGCCCCATCTGATTAGCTGACAGCTTAGCAGAAACTCTTATTTGTAATGTGAAACTGCTTTATTCAGTGTTTTTTTTTCTTTTACCAGTTTTAATCACCTGGTCTGTTTGTTTTGGAGAGGAAAAGACCTCTACGGTTAATTTGGCTCCAGGTAAAAATATCCTGAATAATGAAGACTGAGGGAATCCTGACGGGGAGTTCATGCTTGGCACATGGCAATCTGCAATCCTCAGCACTAGATGCCACTAAATCCTACAAAGTTCTCTTTTAATATGACATCTCCAAAGTGAGTGTAAAGGCTACTCCTTTGGTGTTTCAATTGAGTTCATTGAGCCCTTAGCCTGTCCAAAAAGAAATGCTAATAATAATCATATCACTCATAGGGGGGCACCCAAACCCTTGGGCCTGTGGGTCTGTCCCTGTGGGCCAGTTTGGTAATTCAACCATGTAACCATCCTGACATGCTTGTCAGCTTTTGCGAGGTTAACATTTTCAAAGCTCTGCAAATTACTTTTTCTACTCTTGCAATAAAATACAATAACTACTAGCAATTACAAGTATATCTTTTCACGACAACCCCCACAAGTCTTTTTTTTTAGCTTTAGCTTAGCCATAATTAGCTCAACATAAGTAAGATGGCATTATCCCTTTTAAAAAGGTTCACGCACTGACAGCCATCTAATGGCGGCTGAGGAGATAAAGAGATGGCAGCAGCATAGGAGGACATAAATACTGTTGAATAAAAGACTCAAGGATCTGATGGCTTAGTGGGCTTACAGTAAGAGACCATGGGAACTAAATGCCCTCGTAGTCAACCAGGAAGCTCCAAGATAAGACTTTGGAAGGGGTGGCAGAGGATGTGACATGTCATGTTGGGCCTTTATTGTTATTGTATTATATTGGTTTCAGACATACTTAGCTTAAGGCAATGTTGTGCAATGAAACTGTTGTTTGTAAATTGCAATGTTTTGGTCACAACAATCACTTATTAGATTCTTCTGACTCACTGCTGTCACCAACTAGTAGGAAAGAAACTTGTTTTAAAAACAAGATGTCCCATCCACAGATTCATCTACATACATTCATCTACAGAATATTACTTTTATATGTCTTGAAAGATTTCTATCATAACCTGATTGTCAGACTGAATTCATTTTTGCTCCACTAATCATTTATTTTCATTCCTTCTTGCATTGCTGAACAATTTGGAGATGAAGGCAGCATATCATGGATCTGGATGGCTAACTCCTAACAGGCTTTTAAACCAGGCTTGTACATATGATCTGAAATAACATAAATGAAAAGGAAACTGCAGACTCTCATTTAGAGTCAGCAGCACTCAATGATTCATGAGAAAGCATGCTGTCCTTGACCCAAACGGCGAGAGGAGCTGCAGGCTGAAAATATCCTTGCACAGAGACAGTGTCTGACCATGTGGTGATTTGATTCCTCTGAAAGCAATAAAACAGCATTGCTCTTGGCTCTATGTAAACTGAATATATATCCCATAAATGTACATATTGCTATCAATGTTTTGTTGCAACATCAGCATTCATATTCACTGCAGTTCAGCTCAGCTATAAATAGGAGAGACACAGCAACACTCCTCATATATTCTGCTTTTTAAATGATCTTAATTCACTCATGATGCTGTAATATTAAAACATTTATTCTGTCAAACATCTGTATGTATTTGTATGATATGCTGGTTACAGTTTCCCAGTAAAATGCAGGGACATATCCGGTACTGCATGTCTAGACTGCATGTGTTTCAACATGACTAAAGCTCCTGTCCAGTGGTGGGCTGTCACATTTACAGCCAGCCGGTAACAGCTGGTAGCTGAAGAAACTGTAACGCTGTGACTAACTGTATGGTGTCCTGTCATAGCTGAACTTGAGTCATGTTTTTCCGACTTTAACTGTCCACATGCCACCCGTTTTAAGGATTTTAATTTCGTTCACTACATGGTAAGTCATGGGTGTTGACCACTCACTCATTCACGCTGTTCGGATAAGCACAGGGGTTTTCTCGTTGAGCAAGTCAAGCAGTTAGCTAGCGTTAGCATTGCTTTGCTACTAGCATACACCGGTGCTAGCTCTGAGAAATATGAGTTAGCTTTGTTAGATTTGACAACCGCAAATGTATGTGTACATCTATTTGAAATAAAGGGAAAAGTATTGAAACACTGAGGCTAACACGAGGGCAGAAAGTTAGATGACAGCATGTGACAGCTAGCAGGCTAACATTAGCGTTGTGTTAATTTGGCAACTGTGATGATGTTGAAATTCTGTCCGGATGTTACATTACACTGTTTGGGTGTCACTGGTGTGTTAAACGTTAACACTTGGTATAACTGCCCTATTTTGACAGGTTTAAACATGTTTAAATATCAACAATATTTGTTAGCGCTTCGGCTAATGTGGGCATACTGACTTCCACAGGCCAAAGACAATCCAGCGGTTTTCCTGATTTTCGAAGCCCCGGTGGAGACTCCGTTCGCGGCTGAAGTGCCTTTCATCCCCCGGCCTCTGTGAACCTGGAAGACCAACGCCGCCTTGTGAAAAGCATCCAACATGACAGGTACCAACACCAAACTATTAGAACAATTTACACCTGCACTAAGCCTGTAGACATAATATTACAGCAGTCCAAAAGTTAAATATAGGACACTGCAGAGGAAGTGGACTAAAACTAGATACATGAGCAGCCTAAACCAAACAATAAATCACTGCTGATTGTGAAGTGATGTGAGGGAAGCTTTGCATCCCAGATGTGTGTGTATGATGTGTCTGTTTTGTAGTATAATGTGTGAATTTGCAAAGAAATCACTCACCAGTCATTTTGCCCGTGTTGGCATCTGCTGATGGCCACATTCCTTGAACCTCAAACCCACCGACTGAATGGCTGTCCCACAGTGCCCCTCTCCGCCTGCCTCTCTCCCTGTCTCCCTGGCTCTCTCAGCCAGAGAGAGACTTAGGGTGGATAGTGAGGTCCATTGTGTCAGTGAGATGTTTATTAATGAGAGAGAGGCGTACAGAGAGCAGAGCTGCCATTGAAGGACTAATCGCTAATCTCTTCGTTAATACGGTCAATCTGCCTCTGTACTAACATAAATTACTGAGAAGCCTCAAGACAGGGACTGCGAATTGGTGTTCAGCAGGGACTCTAAGTGAATTTGGGAGTTTGTGTCCGTGTGAAACTCTGCACAGAAGTTGGAGTTGGCTTTTCTGCTCAGGCTTGACTGAGGGAAAGTGTGTGTTTGTGTATGCATGTGTCTAATGTTCATTGCAGCCAAACTTAGGAGTTGTGGATGCATGTGAGTGAGTACATTTTTTGCATTTAGCTCATCTATCAAGAGTTGTGCTTTTTCTGTCTTTTTTTTTTTTTGCAAGTATTGCTAGGTTTACTTTTCAGAAGCTTTAAAAAATTGTAACCACAGAATTAGGGATATTTAGTTCACTGCTTGCAGTGTTGCATGCATGTTTTGGCTTTGATTAGGAGGATTTCAGCGTCTATGAAAGGAGTAGTCTGTGTCTGAGTGTGTGTGTGTGTGGTTGCCTGTCATGCCCTTGCCTGCGCCTGATGTCCCGGCCTCTCAGAGGCTGGCACTGGACTGTCGTACCCTTCTGGACCATCGCGTTGGCAAGGGTAAGTGACAACACCACCTCCTCTGTTCTCACTCCGGCTCCTTCTGTGTCTCTGAGTCGCACGAACAGAGAATTATTTCACTGAAAAGTTTCCTCCGTATGGTTCAAAGGATATTAATGCTGGGGTTTCAATTGCTCTGAACCGCCTCCTGTCCCATAAAACTGATGCAGCTTATTTTATAGTTATAGAGGGTACTTGAGCACTTGACTATGCCAACATCAGTGGGAACACTTGCTGTGATTGGTACTTGGCACAGGTTGCTGTTAAACAGTGTTGACTGATTACAGGGGAGTTTGATTGATAAAATCTTAGCTAGTAAATGCTCTCAGTTGGATAAGAGGAATGTTTGTTCTTCCACCAGAAAGAGATGCTTAAAGCTCCACAGGGAGTATTCCTGATTAGCAACCAGCATTTCTGGCATGCAGCAGCGAGGAAAACAAAGCTTGATTGTAAATGATTATGATCATGGATGTATAGAGAGATCTGGGTAGTGTTGGAGGTGGGCCCTCGTTCATTCCTGTGAAAGTTGCTCAGTGGCGCATGAAGCCAAAGAAGTTAGACTTCTGCAGTATGCACTTATCTGGATCCTCTGCAATGTGGGGATCACAGAGCAAGCGTCTTTTGTAGGGTTGGGTACTGTTCATAATTGAACCGATACGGTACCGGTATCTGGAATTCGGTACCGGTACCAAATGGTACCTTATTTTGGTACTTTATAAAAGTCTAAACTTCTCAGTTTCAGCATTTTATTGAGAACATTTAGGAACAGTGCTGCACGTTAACTATTGTCTGCACATTTTTTTTGTCGCCATTGTTGCTGAGTCTGAGGTGCGAGTCATGCGCTCTCGCTCCGCCTCCACCTCAGGTACCGAAATTTGGCACCGATTCATTTTAGGTGAATCGGTACTCGGTAGTACCAACGTGAATCGGTACCAAGTACAAAAAGTACCGAGTTTCGGTACTCAACCCTAGTCTTTTGAGATTTCTGACAGGCGAGCAGCTAGCTTCCGGTTTAGCGCTCCACTAACTTGAATAAAGACAGAGAAAAAATACATTGCTCTCCATTGATTTTGTAATGAGTGAAGCCTCTTGTCATTTATGTCTCCTAGCAAACTGCCTAAAAGCTGCTTTGTGGAGGGATACATTATCAACACGCTAATGAATCTATAACTTTTATAACTACTTTTACAAGCTGCCAAACCCAACTGAGCTTTTAAGCAATTAGACGTGAGGCATCGACAGGAGGATATAGGAAAACTGTGGGATCCTGACACTCACTATGCCCACATGCAGCTAATTTGGTCTGGAAAACCGCAGAGGTTAAAGCTAATTAAGCTATGTGATGTCTGGTTTTGGTCTTTGTCAGCTTAAATTCTGATCTTACCGGGTGATTTGATTAAATAGTTTTATCCAAGTATTTAACTTCTGCCCATTAAGTGGGACCGTTTCTCCAAGATAAGCAAGGTAAGGATAGGAGACAGTGAGATAGACGGACAATAATGAGTTTGTGAATGTAACTCTTCCTCTCCGATAGACATAAGGTGCTGAAATAATTCTTTGTCATGCTGATATCTAATGTTTTTGGCTAGCTACAGGCATTTTGTTAGCATTTCAGCCATTGGTTGCCTATTTTGGCACCGATAGTGCCAACACTGATTGTGTTGTGCTCTGTCTCTATGGGAATAAAAGAATGCTAGAAATGCTGTTGGACTGAATAGATGAAATCTGTATTGTTCTATATTGTTCCTGGGGGCTTGATTATGATTCAAGCGGAGTATTATTGCACAAGACCCCTGACATTCACAGTGAGTGAAGAGATTAATTTCTCCTGGAGGAGTTAAATAAAGTATCATATATACACCTTCTCCAAGCTGCAGTGAAATGTAGTGGATGATAGTATCATACCGCATAAGGATGCAGCTTAAAGAGAAACAGCCATGTTTGAATCTTTCGTGTTTGTTATTAGCTGCTCCTGAGAACAATTTTGCCACCATCCTTAATTCATCGAACCATTCCTGATGCAGCCCACTCTCTTCTAATTGTTCAATCAGTGACAGCTGAGCACCTTTGGTAATTGCACAACCACACTTTTTTAATGGATGTTAGTGTTCTTACACCATATAAGCTCTTCTCCAAAACCTCTTTTAAATGCTGATAGTCAGTCGTAGAAATTTCAAGCAATGCTATCTATGGACTGATGTTTGGAATAAAGGAAAATATGTGCACCAAAAAGGTTGAGTGGACATGCATTTTGTTCCAAGCGCTTGCTTATGCTTCTACAATGGCACTGCAGTGGCATCAGGTTTATGGTTTCACTGCAGTTTCGTGCATTATAGCCAATTATGTGTAAACATTATGTCTGGTTAATGCGTTCCACAGAAGCATCGATTTGGAAATTTTGCTTTTGCCTTGCATCCATTTGTAGGCTCTGTCTTGAGTGAGCCAGCTGTACGGCATATATGCACTATACTTTGGAAAATAAAACCTGGAAAAGAGCCAGTAAATAGTGACATCCTGAAAAGGATAATATTTCACTGTTTTGCATAAAAAAAAATGCAAATACTAGTAAACATGGTTATATAATCACACAGATGTTTTGGTGTTAAGCTAGAACATGGAAGGAAATGTGGTTAAAAAAAGTTGCATACGCATGGAAAACTGAAAGTAAAGCAGAGGCACGAGAAGATTAATGATGGAGAAGAGGGGGACGAGTGTTGCTGGCAGGGGGTGGAGAGAAGGAGAGAAGGAGATTGCGTGGGTGGGAGGTCTTCTCCCGTTCCATCCCTGTGGTGCACATTTCTTCCTTATTCTCTCCCCAACCTGCCCCTTTTCTCTGTTTCTGTCTGTGCAAGTGAGAAAAATGATTAGAGGTGAGGTGGGTGTGTTTTGTGTGTGCACTTGCATGTGAAATCCGCACTACCCCCTTCAGAAGGAGCGCTGTTGCGGAAGACAAACGGGAAAATCCAAGGTCATCACGGCACGCTTCTCTCTGACGTTGCCTTTCAGCCCCCTTTTGTGTGCGTGTGTGTGCATGCCTGTGTGTGTGTCTGCATGGCAGGGAGAGAGTGTGTCTGTGTGTGTGTAATTCAGCGCATCGAGCCAGGCTCTGCACCAATCACGGTGCGCATTTTAGCTCCAAGCACATGTGCAGGCAGTAATACCAGAGTGAGCGGTGCGTGTGTGTGTTTGTGTGCGTTTCCAGTGCCTCCTGGCACAGCGGTGTGTCCGTATGAGCGACTGAAGCTGCATTAAGAAAACATAAGCATCTGTAGTGAGAGACTCCAACATCACAATCGATGTACGGTAAGAAAAACAATCACTCTTCCATTGTGTATGTGTGTGTGTGTGATGCCTAGGCTGTGTAAGCATGTGAGTAATGTGAAGCATCCAGCGTTCAGCCAGTTTTCCTACATTCTTTAAACATGTTTCCTGTTGTGATATACTGCAGCTGTCACTACAGTGTAACGTCTCCTAAAAGCTTATTATGGGATTTTGGACTCTTATGAGGATACTGCTTTATTAAATTACAGTATTAGCTTAGAAGAAGGCACCGCTTTGAAGATGTTTATTTTTGGTAATGGGTACTTTTCACACGTTGTTTCCTTCTATTATATCTAAGCCGGTAACATTGCGTTCTCTACACTTGTAACCTACTCAGCGAACTGTTGCAGTTGTCAGTATGACAGACTGTGAGATATGGTCAAGCTTACACTATAGAGGTTTGATTTTCTTGTTGTCTTTTAATTGTATTCAATATTTAAGGTTGCACATTTTAAAGTCATGCTTCCTTGTCGGTTAAAAGTTTAAATTTGTGGCACTTTTCTGTAAAACTTTGTAAGAAAATGCTCTTGGTGTTAGCGTTTACTGTCGCTCTGGTCTTACTGGGACACGTTGATATATGGGTCATTGATTAGCACTAATTAAAAATGTAGTCAGCTTTGCTTTGCAGACTATTGATGGAAAAAAGGCTTCAGCTAATGGGCTAATGAATTATCAACACACACAGACAGGCAGTGCACACTGGAAGAACAAGCTCAGCGAGGCTTCACTGTGCAGCGCACGGTTGAGCTACTGTATGGAAATGGTGCTCTCTGGGTTTGAGTCCCTCATAGCCCAGTTTCGGCGCCTGTTTGACTGTGATTCATAGTGTGTCGGATTGGCCTTGTGTCATGAGGATTTGTTGGCAGCTGGGTCGTACATCAGTATGTTGGTCGCATTATACCAGCCATGTTCGCTTCCACCCACACTGGATCGAATGTGTACTTTGAATCTCACTTACATGGATTTATGTCTTTAAAAAAAGGGGATATGCTGTATATGCTTCTGCAAACTGTGCACCCAGTGTGCATGCGTGTCTGTAGCCTGGAGATACATTCTCAATGGCTCGTCGTGACAGAGAGAAGGGGTGTTGTGGTTATGTATGCACCACATTTGAGTAGCTGTCATTCTCTGCATGCCTTAGTGACAAAAATCCACATTTCTCCCTCTTTGTCATGCTCTCCCTAATGCTATCAGCCCCTTCTCCACGATACTCACCTCCTCTTCTCAGCTGCTTTACAGCTCTCCCAAACTCATTGAGCGACAGTTTATGTGCATACTGGTTTCATTATCCATTATTTGCCCACTCTCTTGTCTTGTTCTCTCTGCGTATTTGTGGATTTTGGCGTGTGTTTGCATTTTACTGTGCGAAGCTACTGTTTAAGGATGTTTTGTCCATTTTTGTTTGCTGATGTAAAAATAGCAGGACTTGGTCTCTCTCCCCCCTCCCTCTTATGTAATAACACCCCTAAAGGGCAGCATGCTTTGTAACCATCACCGTGAAGTGTCATGTATTATGCACAGGTATATATATACAGCATGTAGGTGGTTACAGAGTGTTTGCTTCTGTCTGTTTGTATATGTGCTTGTGTGTCTGCTCCGTAAAACCAGTGCTTTGCATGACCCCAGGTGAAGGTGAGGTCTAAGTGTATATTGACGGTTCTGTCTCTCCCTTTCATTCA